CTGTGAAAACTGCCTCCAGGACGTTGAAAGATTTGGTGGTGGTAAAGTAATGATATGGAAAACGGTACTACATAAAACTAAGACTAATTTGGTTCATATTCAAAGGACTTTGAAGGAAAAAGGTAATCTGACAACGTTCTACCCGCATATGGCTTTTCAATGTTGGAGCATCTTGGAGCCGTATTTGAATCTGACAATGCATCTAAATCGCCTGATTTAAACCCTAATATTTACATTAGCTGTTTTTCTACTTAGCCAAGTTGAAATTGATTTGAATACCATTTTAGTATATTTACATTTGCAAATGTTTTCCTTTATATAAAACTACTGAAAGCAATGCGCAGGGTGAATTCACCATGCATCGGACACCCTTGTATTTCAACAAGTTCTAGCGATATCGCTACCGACGGAAAATTATCAAAATGGAGCCTAACATTTAGTATGTAATTAAAATATAAATTTTGGACACAATTATATGGTTTTTATTGAGAAAATATTATCAAAAATCGAATTTTTAAAAATAACTTCGAATTCACCATGGATCGGACTTTGTTTACCATGCATCGGACAGACGGTATTTGGACTGGAAAATATCATACCTTTATCACAGTCCCTGATATGGATATACTTTTATTTAAGAAATAACCCTCAACTTAAATTTAATTGACGATATCGTTGCACAAATGTAGAACGATTCAAGATGCCCCACTTTGTCTTAGAAATGCTTTAAAATGCTTGTAATGCGGTAATAATTAACGCCTTTTTCTCATGGGTTATCATACTCTGGTTTGTTGAAATAAATTGAGTCAGATTCTAGACGTCATATGTGGATAACTTGTATTTTGACTGAAAATTTAGAGATTTTATTCTCTATTTCCGACAAAAACAGCTGACGTGTTCGTAGGGTTCTGTATGAAAATAGTCGTGATTATCTTGACATCGGAAAGTGTCCGATGCATGGTTAATTTGTGTCTGATGTACGGAGAAATGAACATACTAGTAAAAACCAGCTCTAAAAAGAATTATACAAACAATGAAGTGAAATTCCTTTAAAATTTATGTAAAATTACCAATCTAAGACAATATTCACCAAAGTCTGACTCATTAAGTTGAAGTCGAATTTAAAGAACGATAACTCTAAAAATTGCAAAATCATAAATTTCTGGTTATTCCCCTTTGATGATGTAAAATATGACGTAACCTCAAGGCCATTCTCGGGATATTTTTATCACAACATGATAATAACAGTCGGTATCATTCAAAAATATAAATCTTTAGCTTCAAGACAGAAACAAATAAATACACGGAACTCTTAAGTTGAGAGAGAGTTTATTGCCTAAAGTTGTCCGAAGGTATGTGTCCGATGCATGGTTAGCTCACCCTATCTATAACTGTATAAATATAGCGGCACGGGGTCAAGAGTCCATAGATGTGCGTATGGATAAACGGTCTACGTAATTTCTCAGTGACGTCGTAAAGGGTCGACGCGCGTTCAGTGGATTACATACATGCCAATGGGTTTGAAAAACAATGCATTTCACACGTTAAAAGTCACAATCAGGTAAATACAAAGAATGAAAAAGTCACAAATGTAAATATATAAAGTAATAAGGTATCATTTTAAAACATCTATCGGGCTATAAATACGGGTTGGTACGAGATAAATTCATCATAAAGCCCTTCGGGCTTCGGGCTTTATGGAATGTAATCTCGTGACCAACCCGTATTCATATCCCGATATATGGTTTAAGGTATGTCTGTCGTGAATTTGTTAAATCAAGGATTTTTGGAGAAGTATATTTTGGATAAGTACTCATATAGTATGACTCAAAATCGCAGAGAAAATAGGGGGTCAGTGTGCATCTTGCTGAGCTACGGTACAATTAAGTTGACCTTTTTTTGCACTTAAATTTTCACTCTTTGGTTAATTACCTTAATCTTACATGTAATCATATTTTATTATATGTTACGATTGCAAAAAATATAATCTTTCTTAACGTAAAATAGTTGGAATAATATTTATCATAAAAAAAATCTTGCAAATTAATGTGCGTAAATTACTGAGTGATCTTTTTGCACTGAAAAGTAACATATTTAGGGGTATTAACAATCTAAATAGGCGATAAAATATTTTCTTGTATCAAACTTTCTACGACTTAAGTGCTAATCAGTCAAAAGTATCGAGTAGTTTAAAATTTTGAAACAAAAAGTTTGGGTCAGTGATGTTAATTTTAAAATATTGGTCAAATCATTCGATTTTCAGGCAAAAAACGGTGTAAATTTAACTTGACTTTTGTAAACATAATTATCTTCATTTCTCGGCAAAGTTTGTTGAGGGAACGTGTAAAATTTGTTCTAAAAATATAAATGAGACCTTTATTAAATATTCATAGCATATCATAACGGACATTATTATATAGCTAATAAATTGTCTCTAATAAAAGACTACCAAAAATCTAGAGAATTTCAGCGTTCAATATCTTGACGTTTTATTGAACGCTGAGTTTGTATTACGTATTATATGGATGCCCGAAACATTCCGAATACGAGCGTTCAATATCGAACGCCCCGTTGTAAACAAAAAATGTCGTCTGATCAAATTCTCCGAGTCAAATTAAAGAAATGAAGTGGCATCTAGGTAAGATGTGTTAATTTTTACACAATAATGAAATTATTAATTAAAAACAGTACGTATTAGACCCGCTAAAACCTAAATGAGCAAATCATAACGCTTGATAGGGTCATCGCAATTATGCGACATTGAACACTTAGAGGACAGGCGTTAATTTGAGTACCGACGACTAACCGATACCGAAAAAAATTATAATTTGAGTTTTTTAGTTGGAATAATCATTATAAGGTATGAGGAAATGTTTTAGCTATATAATAAAAGAGTTATTGCACGTATATTGGTGAATATTTGCACTCGTTGGCTGTACAAAATGCACTCGCAAGCCAGTGCATTTGTACAGCCAACTTGTGCCAATATTCACCAATATAAGTTCATTAACCCTATAATATTCCCCGCGTAAAAGTATGTGGGACTAAAGTTCTATATAATAAAAGAGTTATTGCACGTATATTGGTGAATATTTGCACTCGTTGGCTGTACAAAATGCACTCGCAAGCCAGTGCATTTGTACAGCCAACTTGTGCCAATATTCACCAATATAAGTTCATTAACCCTATAATATTCCCCGCGTAAAAGTATGTGGGACTAAAGCTCCAAGATATTAAATTTAATAAATGTGCTGATTTGCAGAATTTTCTGCTAAATATTCTTCCACCACAATAAATAGTCCCTCATAAATCTTGCTTCTTTGTGGATTTTTGAGCAGTTTGTTTTCTCATTTTATGTTGAATAATTTACATTGTTAAATTTTGATATTTTATTAAAATTGAATTAGAATAAATATTTTTGAATTAAAATGATACCTTATTTCTAAAGTATACTCATGCGTAGAAATATGCACGGAGAAACTCGCGCTACGTGACGTCACAATAAGGCTTTAGCGACATTAGTAAAAATGCAACGATATAAGGCAGCGAGAAATTCAAATATTAAGTTTATTTTTGATGCTTTCAAACACATAAAATGTTTTTAAGTTTAGTCTGAATTATTGGTGTGTAAATCACACAGGCCTGTGCGCTTCGTGAAATATGCCTACGTGACAAGTCTGTGTGATTTACACACCAATAACTCACACAAAACTTTAAAACATTTAAGGAATGTTTTTAAGTTTTGTGTGAATTAACTGGTGTGTGAATCACACAGAAGTCACGTAGGCATATTTAATGAAGCGCGCTAGTGCTTCATGAAAAATATGCCTACATGCAAGTCTGTGTGATTCACACACCAATAATTCACACAAAACTTAAAAACATTCCTTATATTTACATTTTCCATGTTTTAAAGCATCAAAAATTAACTCAAATATTTAAATTTCTCGCTGCCCTATTTCGTTGCATTTTTCTAACGTCTCTGTAGCCTCATTGTAAAGTCACGTTAGCGCACGTTTCTCCGTGTATACAATAACATGTATTTCTACAGGTGAGTATACACGAAATTTGTATTCAAATCAATTTCACTGTTGGCTTACTAGAAAAACACAGCAAATGTAAATATTCCTTAACTGAGCAAGCACTGCATGGACAAATAGATTGTCATGATTTGCCAAAGACAATCGCATCCCCAGACTCTGCAACAGCTGACCGAAGCTACATGTATATACATTTGGAATGGGAGAGTATTCCTACACAGTTTTTGTTACACACATTTGCTTCCATTAGATGCCATTTCAGGCTGTCATTTGTGTCCGGGGTGGGGGTGTTATACCAGATTGAGATATTGCTCTTTAATGACCATGAACTGTCTACATGTATGAGTTTAAAATTCTTGAGTAATTATGACATTTAGATTGTATCCCTATTTGTTAACCACCAATGCATCATTTCACTAAATTATCTTTATCTATTATGTGTCACTAAAATTCTACTATGCGTTTCTTTTTTTTTTTGAAGAGTATAGATACAGAAATGATAGCCTCATTTTTTCATTGCTGAAATTGTTCTTTTTAAGTTTGAAAAAAAATTAAGATATTTAAAGGGTGTAAAAAATCACAATAAAAGGTTGAAACCGTTACTTACAACTAATCCTCGGGGATTATTTATTTTGCCTGCTGTAGTTGAATATTTTTATCTGTCCAAATAAGATTAATTAACACGTCAGTTGGCAAGTGATGCTTGTTTTAAAGCTAAGGTCTGGTTGATTCACCAAAGGCTGGCATTTCATGAAATTCTTAATATTCCACAGGTATAATCAGTGAGACAAAGCATTTCTTTTTTATATCTTGCGTTGACGTCTATATTATTTGCGACAAATATTAATACAATCATTTCTTCAATCCGACAGTCCATCTGAACAATTTGATTTGTTGAAAATCCCCCTTCTCCTTGTGAATTTGTCTAACCGATAGAATGTAGTCCACAAACTACTCTTTTGGCATTAATGATGAAGGAAGCATAAAATCATTCGTATGGTGTATAAATGGTTTATTGTAATTTATTGTTTAGAAGGCCTTTGAACATCACATCCTTTTGTATCCTATCTGCAACAAATGGACGGAGTGTGTAAATAATGCATATTACAAGGATAAGATAAGAAAACATGGCAATACATATAGCCGATGTACTGGGAACCATCTCCATTGTCGCATGGTGTTTTATATCCCACACGATTGTGTCGAATTGCAGCAGAGTTCCCACCACGCATAAAACGTGGAAAATTTGGTGTCCTTGTCCGATAATGTCAACCTTGCCTGGAATGAGTTTATCTGGAACGTGACTGGAGAAGAAAAACACAGAGGTAGTTATAAAAGCCACGACGTTAGAATGGTGACTTAGTGAGCTCAGATGACACTCGGGATCGCTGGCACAGTCAGCGTATCTAGGAGCCACGAGGAAAAACACCAACACGGTCTGTGTTCCGAAGGAAAATAATTGCCACAGTTTTCTCCGAAATGGATATGGTCGTGTGTATTTAAGTTTAGCGATACAGCAGCACAGACACCCAGTTGTGCTCATGATGACCGCGGACGGAAGAAAGTAACACTGCAAGGAGACGAAATACTGGTGATAACAACTGACGTAAAATACGTATATACTACAACCCAGGGTATAGAAGCCTATTCCGGCATAATCTATCTGGAAGCAGAGATAATGGATGTCGGGGGACTTGGAATGTAACGTATGAGCTAAGGTACTACAGAATGTATAAGCCAGACAGCACAGACTGAAAGCAGTAATGACGGGGAGGAACTCTGAGCTGGAGGCTGGGTCATAAAGTAGGCTCAGCCATCTATACAGGATGAGGAAAAAGCCTACAAGGTGTGTCCATATATTGACTGTCTCATTGTGAATATGAAGAATGCTAGCGATATAGTAAATAAACCCCTGTCCGGAGGGCCGGTAGCCAGATAATATCCCGGGCTCCCGAAACAAGGGATCCACTTGATCGGACAGGAGAGTAGGCTGCACTCTGGCCTGAGTCACGTGACTTTTAATCAGACAAAGAAACCTGTCTTGTCCCATCTGTGGTACTGATGTACCTGGAAAACAAGTGTTAGTTTCTTTTCAGAAAAATAAATTAAAAGTATTGACAATCATATAATATGTAAGCAAATATTTAAAGGACTGATCATTTGCCGAGAGCTCGAGGGGACGAATTTTTTATTTATTTTTATGATAATAGGCAGATTATTTCGAAGATGATCAATGCATAATCTGCACTGGAAAAGAGAAGAACTGCCAAAATATAAACTAGCTTTTGAGTGAGTTAGGGTGTGTGTATGTGTATGTGTGTGTGTGGGGGGGGATTACATATAACATTACGACTACAAATTATTTAATTTCTCGCTAGTCGAAGACGGATTCTTTTTTCTAACATTTTCGAGGACATCTTATTAATTAATAAATCCAAACTCTGCTCCCCCTCCCTCAGAATCAACTGACCGTCGCCTAAAGAACCATCCAAAATGATATGAAGGAGTCCATTTGCTATTAATGCGCATACGTAGATTTAATGAATTATTCTTGCTTTTTAAACTAAAGTAAGTAAAAGATTGTGGGATTCCTGCAGAATTTTTCCTTTTTTTCCGACAATGTAAACCTTACTCTACACATAAATTTATTAGAATTTGTAGTTTTATTGTGTCTTATTATCCTGTATCGTACATGTTACATATTTTATTATATGATTGAATAATTTCCTTCTCTCTGATTGGCTGAGATTCAACAATGTTAGAAAAATACTACGTTATATTGACCTGCACGTGACCTTCCAGGTCAATATAAGGAATTATTGCAGGTCAATATAAGGAATTATTGATCTGTTCCATTTTTTCTGTTACAATGTGTTATTGTTGAAATTTCTTGTTAAAACTTTCAATTGAAGCAAAGAAACAGTCTTATAGGAGTTTGCTATCATTTAATCATATAATAAGACAGTTATTGTCCTTCGGGCTCAGTGAATATTGTACTCCTCAGGTGTCTAAATCATCGTATTGTCCTAAACAGCAATAATTGTATAATATATATTTCCTGTCTCGCCACCTTGATATATTTTCCCTCTATTATTTGTTTAATTCTCCCCTTTTTCAATAATATTTATGTTATGTATTTTGTTTTGTTTTCTAAATGTACCCTTGATTAGTTTATAATATACGTAATATGTATATATGTTATTATATGAATCCCGCGTACAAATATTTTTGTTTTGGTGAATAAAAGGAACTTGAACTTCAATATACATTGTATGCATGATATATATTATCATTTTTATTGTTTTTCTTTAAAATGGTGTTTATTCAATAAACATTCATAAAAGTCTATGATGTTTATCTTAGCTTTACTTTTCACTTTTAGTTATACATAATGTAATATACGCGCTACCATTTGAAAAACCTCCCTTTAAGTTTGGGTATTTTAAATTGTTGTTATTATTAATTGATATGATAGCTACAATATTAAACACCCATGATTGTTTAGTAAAGCAGTCGTATACACCATACAGTCAGAAAATTTAAAAACCGTCACCTGCATGGTTAATTAAACTCTTTATCAATGTTTCCCGCACATGCATGACACGCATGGGCTCTTTGTTTAAAACTAAAGATTATTTAAGTTAATAATAATTTTGTTTACATATAATAATACATTTCTTTATTATCAGACCTTCGATACATAATAGTAGTATAAGGATTCCCGCTAGGACCGCATTCTGATTGGCTGAGAGAATCACGTGATCAAAAATGCTGGATTCTGATTGGCTGAACCCTAACCCTAACCTTAACCCTAGCCCTAACCCCTAACCCTAACCCTAACCCTAGCCCCTAACCCCCTAACCCTAACCCCCTAGCCCTAACTAACCCTAACTATCCCTAACTATCCCTATCCCCCTTAGCCCTAACTAACCCTAACCCTAACCCCCTAACTAACCCTAACCCCCTAACCCTAACCCTAACCCTAACTAACCCTAACCTATTCCCCTTAAATACTGGAGTTGTTTACACAGTGTTTTTTTTACATTGGTACGTAGGTACTACGTTTTTTTTTATGCTGACTACACAGGTAAATACTTGGCAGCGATTCAAGTCAGGGGACCGTGTGTAAAAAATATGCTGACTACACAGGTAAATACTTGGCAGCGATTCAAGTCAGGGGACCGTGTGCAAAAAAAAATATGCTGACTACACAGGTAAATACTTGGCAGCGAGCCAAGTTTGTTTAGAGCCGTGTGCAAAAAATATGCTGATTACACAGGTAAATACTTGGCAGCGATTCAAGTTTTGTTTAGGGCCGTGTGCAAAAATACGATAGACCTACGTTTTTTATGCTGACTACACAAGTA